CAGAGCGAACCACTGCCAGCGTGTTCGGAGGAGCAGCAACCAGAACCTATCGTCACACCGGAGATTCCTTCCGTTACTACCGTTCCGGAAAAATCTGTGGGCTGCTTCCACAAACTGTTTTGTTTTTTCCATCCTCTACGCAAACGCAAATCACGAAAGCGAAGGCGTGCTTCCACTGTTGTCCCTCAGCCGGTTTCCACATCACCGTGCGCTGTCAACGCCGAAAATATAAACCCAGTCCGTCATCAAGTAATGCCAACTGACGGAGCGGGTGATGGTCCAACTCTGCCAAAGTCTGACCGGCTAACTGAGGCTAAGCTGGCCTTGCTGGATACCAAATCAGTTGAGTTTTGCCAAGCAGTGCTGAATTCCTCCCTTCCCCTTCATGACGCGATCGTTAAGTACTTTGAGCAATCTTCCGGTGTACTGGTTCTTGATTGCACCATGAATTCCCCTACAGGTACAACTATGGGGCGATTAATCAATGCTGGGACCGTGCTTTGTGTCACGGTGGTTGCAACGCGACCGGATCTCGTCACACGGTTGGTCGACGCCTGCCAGTTGTTCCAGAACCTATCTCCGGAACAGTCACAAGTCGATAGATCGGATCCCGTTTGCGGATCGCGACTTTCTACTGACTTGCAGAAAGTTCTGCAAGAGGCAAATATTCGTTCAGTATTGAACGTACAAGATTTCCGTTTATCTGTCTCCTTAGATTCCTCTGAAGTGAATAGGGCTTTGGAAGAATTAGCCGATTTGGTCGAATAAATAGATCTTGCTGCCGAAAATCGCTAACGGTTGCCTGTGATAATCCCTGTATCATTTGGCTTCTTCTCTCTTACAATTTTTGTGTGCAGTTGTGCCATCGCCTTCAAGCTCTGTACAGTTGATTTAACGTTCCGTTTACTATCTCTTTCTCTCCCTCCCACAATTGCATTAGTCACCACGGGTTTTCGCTTTCTTCCGGCCTTTTGCATTCACTTTGTAATTTTGAGACAGTTTCTAGTCACACCCGAATGACAAGTAAAAAATTATTCGTCACGATTTCAGCTGTCTCATCTCGATCGACGAGCTCGTTTTCCCTTACGCACAACTCATTTCAAAACGATACATCCTGTTTCGCCTTATGTAAAACAACCAGTTTAGAATAGTTTGTATTGATGGTCCCCCACCCCCATGTTCGTTGGGTTTGATTTTTCTCCCGTTTCCTACCGGTATTGTTGAAATTCACATCGGATCACGCTAGACATTACATACACTCCATAAACTCGTTCGGTGCATTCTTTTATCTGTTCGATCTTTGCACTATCACATATTGATGCGACCTATTATAATACCACTCAGAGAAAGTAAAGCTCTTAACTGAAAACAAAATGCTGTGTTGCTCTTGTTCCAGATCCCCCTACTTTATCAAACCCTCACCGCCGTTTGGTTGACTGTGAGGGGCTGAAATCACTATCAAAATGCCCAAGTTAATCACAGGAAGGCGGGTTGAAACCGACACTGAAAGTGATGTTTGTGGGTTGGCTCCTTCAAGAGCAAAACTCCGAATGAATGCTAAACCGGAATAATGAAATACCTTGATCGGTTGGGCGTTTCGTGAACTGCTGTATTACATGTACCGTATATGCTCAGTTNGTAAACAGGAATGGGACTTGAGCGTACAGTCATAAGCCGAGCGCCACTCCAACTGCACGTTTTGTTTTTCATGACTTGGTCCATTCTCGAACTGAATAAAGAATAAGCGTCAATTAACAGTTTGCTCATTCCATGGCCTATTGTTTCTAGTAGATAGTTGAGCTTCGTATCCGGATGCTCCCTCGTCCTGCCGCGTTTCCGCAGATGTTGCTGCCAGTATAACATCCGGTGACTATCAGTTTATCGTTTTAGAGGCGTTGGTTATTGCATACATTGGGTAACCGGGTTAGGACCGTGTGGGAATTTCGCGCGAGCATTTTTAGGAACCTAAATCATTGCGGACCCATCAATCTGCCGTTCAACAGGACGCATTAAACAATCCCTGACATGTATCAAATATAAGTTCGGGGGTAGGCTATGCATTACTGAATATGCATCCCCGAACCAGTTGTTTACACGGAGCTAACTAAAATATAAATTTACGAGGTCTGAATTATCCTCCATCGAGAACGGCAACAGTCTGAGATTTTATTATCATTAACCATACATGCACTTTTGTGAGACATCTTCGGTTGCTGTCTTTAGATTGCCTATTTGGATAAAAGAGTAAAAGGAAGTTTGGGGTGTTGAGAGCGGAGTCAAAGAGAAGATAAAGAATTCATGTAGACCGGGGTTGCAAGAATAATAAATAGGTGCACGAGCGCCACTGTTTGCGACACTCAGCCATATCACGCAGTGTCTCCAACCACCGGTTACCATGATCTCGACAACAACCCATACGCCGATTGAGGTATGTTGCTTGTAGCACAGTGCGCTGCGTATCATTCAAAAGACTTATAAGCTAGGGAATGGAGCAACTACGCGTCAGGTACACCGCGTGGCATTCAGCTATTTTCGATTTGCACTTTCGGGCAGCGATTATGCTTTTGCTGTTTAATTTGATCCGTATAATCTAGCCATGATCTCCATGAAACTTTGTCCGTAACGCGAGTGATGCAATTGACCGAGAGGAATAACTGGATCATCCCGTCGCATACCTTGCTTTATCTACTGACTGTTGTTGCATTTTCAGCCTGACTTCACCTCTTGGTGTGTTCGGATGGGTGCAATAATGCGAAGATAAATGACCATTTATTGCCGGTGATTAGGGAGCGAAGTGGTTCTCCGTCTTAAACTATACTGGTTTCGGTTGGTTGTGAAGGAGTAAACCAACGTCGGTCGATGAGGTTATCTTCATCAACCTATTTCGTAACTACGGGAACCTCGACTCAAACTCAAATGCGTTTTTGATCGGGGTTTGTTTTATTTTGGAGGATGTGATGTTCACGGTATAACATCAATACGCTTCACTGTGCGCTGAACAAATCACGGCGCAACGGTGTTCAAGGAAATCAGTCCTCAATTTGCTCATGGGTTTCCTCCTACTGGCGCTTTTAGCAGGTCAAACTCGGTGAGCTTTCTTCGGGTAATCACAATCGAATTCTTCGACTAGCCAAGGCCTGACCCTGACCCACAAGGCAACGGAGCGGATCGTAACTCCTAATCCACCGGGATCCGGTATCCACTTTGTGTAATAATACGCCCTTGGGATCGGGCCACGTGTTTAAGATGCCCAGTCAAGTTGGTAATTACCGGCGGAACCAAGGTGAGGGTTTGATTTGTACGTTCCCTCGCCGATTTAGAATCTTTCTTTCGCAACCTCCGGGTGAATTACCAGTGTTTTACCGACCTGGTTATAGTCACTGACGTTTGTTTTCGTCCCCTCACGTTGGAGTTGTACAATCTATCTACTTTACTCCTGTACCCCGTAGGAATGGACCTGTCGCGGAAACATTTTGGAACAGATGTATAAGATAAAATCAGTGACTAAGCGATGGAGGCTGTCTAGGCAATCTCTAAATTCAACCTTCCGCATGCAGAATTGATCTTTACCTGGTACAGACAACAAGAAGGGTCTTGCTCCATGATTCGCCGCACAGTTTGATAAACCCTCTGTAAAATCCGTTGAATTTACTTTGGATTTAGGTTTCACAGTCCGTCTATTTATCACTAGTTTGGAGATCGTATGGAGTCGTCGTTCAGTTACGGGATCGTAACCAGGAGTTCGTTCGTTCGGACAGCCAGCCATCTTTCTCAAGGGAAAATTCAGCGGAGTCGAA